AGTTAACCATTCTCGTACAGAAAACCATACCTCCTTAGCATATTTACAAGTCCAAAAAAGATGGCTGATGGACTCATATTCTCCACATTTAGATTTTGGGCATTGTGAACTCTTTGAACAATTCCTTTTTTCTAAAAACACTCGAGTAGGTAGACTTTGATGCACTACTTGCCAAGCAATGTCTTTATGTACATTAAATAAGAACACATTGCTTACATTCTTCCATACTTGAATACAATCAGACTCAAAAAGTTTTCCCACTGGAGATATCCTCTGTAATTCTGGGTAATACATATTTTGCACCATCGCTCTATTAACTTTCTCTATCTGGATATCTGACACTTTAACTTTTCGTAAGAAAGATAGCACCCTTTCGTATATATTTGGTCTAAATTCAGCATGAGGTTTATTTTTTGGACGTCTAATCTTCCAAGCATTGGCTACCTGTTGGCCTATCCAACGTTTAGCAAAACAATGCCACAAGATTTCTTGATTCTCACTTAGACAGGCTTTCAGAAGAGGAGTCAAAAACATCGATTCCAATTTAATGCTTATTTCTGGAACTGCTAGCCCACCCATAGCTACTGGTTTATACAATATCTCTCTTCTCTTTCTTTCATGTTTGGAGCCCCAAAGGAAACCAAACAAGACTTTTTTAACTGATCTTATACAATTGACTGGTGCCGGCAAGGTTACAGCTAGGAAAGTAAGAGAAGCCAAAATTTAGGCATTTATTACTAGCACTTTCCCTCTCAAAGTAAGGTCTCGATCCTCCCACTGTTTTACTTTCCATTTAATTTTATCTAGTCTCTGATCCCAATTCATTTTCTCCATATTATTACTAATCGAAAGCCCTAAAATCTTAATAAATTCTACCTGATCTTTAAAGCCTAATTTTAATTTAGGTTCTTTCCAAAAGGAATACAGAATTTCAGTCTTTTTTCTATTAATTTTCGCACCGGTAGCTAGAGTAAACTTTTCACAGATTTGCAAAGTTTTCTTAATAGAATTATTATCAATAAGAAAGAGGGTCTTCTTCTATATTTTTAGATCTATACAAGTTCTCATAAAACGAGTGAACATGGGATACTATATTATGGGTTCCTGTTATTATTTGGTCATCTTGGATTTTTAAAGAGTCCAAACTTGGGGCACCAAGAATTTTCCTAAAAAAATATCTGGTGCATTTTTCATTCGATTCCATATGTTGAACTCTACTCCTTATAATGTAGCTCTTACTTTTATAAGCCATTATTTTAGCCATTACTCTCTTAAGTTTTGCAATATCTTCGACTACATCAAATCCAAAATGAGACATGGAATATAAGATTTGCAAATCTCTCTGACACTTTTTAAGATGGAAATTACTTTTCAACGTAGCTTTCTTACTTTCCTGTATAAAAAAAACTCCTTATTCTAGTTTTGAGATCTTCCCACCAATCTCCCACAGAACTATACAATTCTTGCAAAGATTTCCACTGATTAAATTTTCCTCTTAATTTTGATACTAGTTTAGGATCTTTTAACAAGTTTATATTTTATTTCCATAATCCAAGTCCTCTCGTACTACTTCCATTTATCTTTACTACACAATCTACTTTAGCATAATCGGAAAAAAACACCGGTTTCAAGGAAGATTCCATTACCTCAATTGTAGGTGAGGAAAATACGAAATCAATACGAGAAAAGGAGGTACCATTAGACCAAGTAAACCCTGGAATATTAGGGTTCTGCAATCTAAAGGTATCTGTAAGTTTAAAGTCCTTAATAATATTCATAAGATCTATTGAACTAGAATCAAGTTTTATTGTTGTTATTGATTTCCGATCTTCTTTAGCTATTATACAATTAAAATCGCCTCCAATAATTACTTCCTGTCCACAAATTAATATTGAAGCTATTTCTTTTAAAATTTCCTTACACTCTTGTAAATCTGGAGGGCAATATACATTAATTATACGAAAAGCTATACCATTTAATTTCACGTCCACATACAAAAGTCTCCCACTAACAACTTCCTGAACTTGTTGAATCTCAAAATACCAACCTCTAAAGAGAATGACTACCCCAGATGACTTATTCTTATTATCACCTGACCATATAGAATGGCCATATTTCCATCTATCTTGAAAGGGTCTATAATTAGACTTATAAGGTATATTACATTCTTGAAGGAGGGCGATGTCATGACCCTCACTATGTAAAAAGGAAAACACAGAAGAACATTTCACTAAATCAACTAAACCTCTAGTATTAATAGATGTAACAGATAGACGAGAAATCTATAAAAGAGAGCGTTTATGTAGGCGAAACTAGATTACTTTTCAGTGTTTTCCTTTTCTTTTCTTTTTTAGCTCGGGGAGGTAGTTCTTTCTGTGAAGCGGATTCTTTCATTTGAGTGGTAGTTGAAAACATGTTAATTTCATCAGAGTCCAAGAAAGGTTCGGAATTAGATGCCCAATCAGTCACTTCTTCCTGTTCCTGCATAGAGGGCACTATGGAGCTCTGGGAGTCCCGAGTATCATCGTCTAGAAGAGAGTCCGATGTTGATGATCTTCCAGACAGTAGAGACAAGGACAAAGAGAAGGCTTCAGCTATCTCCAAGAGAATATTCCCTTTCTGTTTCTGAACTTCCTTATCAGGGGTTGTTATTGCAACACTTATCTCTCCTTCAAGTGATTGAACTTCTCATCTTTGTATCTTTTCCCCTGCTTTCTTATCATTAGGTGCTAACGGGGGCTCAACAATTCTTGAAAGAGGCATCAACTCTTCTTTCCACAAGGTCGATATAGAAACTTCTGCTACTCTTTGCGACTGCGGTGAGAGGTTTATACTAGACATTTCCAAAGGCACCATACCATCTTGGGCGAAAAGCTGCTGATTCCCAGTAGAAACAAGATCTTCAGTAGTACTCGCCAAGTCTTCAAAGTCCTCTACATTTTCCGTTTCTCTGTTGTTTTGTTTTATTAGAGTAGGCATGGGGACAATCACGAAACCTGTGGCTTTCTGCTCCACAAAGATTGCATTTCTTTGGTAACTGACAAACTTTGGAGCCATGTTCTTTGCTTTTACAATGTCTACAAATTTCCAGTTCACAGTTGGCAGCTATGTGATCTAAGAAGCCACATTTTCTGCATTCTTTTGGTTGTCCATTATAGAAAACATAGCCCCTAATTGGGCCTAATTGGATTAATGAGGGAAGACGCACTTGAAACTTAGATGCTCCAGTTTTTATTCCATCCTCATCTCTCATCAAAGAAGTATTCAAAACAGTGCAATGCATAGACAGCCAAGTAGCAGTATCTTCTACTTTGACCCTTTCAGAATATATCAGAACAGTCACAGTTCTGAAGCAGAAAATGTTGTGAAAACAACTTCAAAAACTTTCCTACGAGGCAGAGCAAAGATAAAATCCAGTTGTAAGGGTTGGAATCCAAGTACAGTCTGTAAGATTTTCCTGCTGAAATTCAGGCGATCCATCTCCAATCCTTCAAGGAGCTCAAAACGAACTGTATTCCTTCGCACCAAAGAGGCCGACATTGCTGTTCTGTTTAATACTCTAAACCAGAACAGACGTTAAGGACCCTGGGTGAACCTTTTTTTTTTTTTCTTTACATCACAATACAGAGACAGGTAAGTTCCTTCATAAATACATATCATACAATCATATATTTAAATCAATATGTTACCCTTTATCCTTTACACATATTTAAACAGCTATAGCTAGGCATCAGTCAGTCCGATCGACTTGAAAAGTGAGGTCTGTGAGAAATTTGAAACTAATCCGCCCACCAGGGGCTGATTTTTCAAGAGCGTAAGTGGCTTCTTTTCACACAGGGACCACACATATCCAGCATATGACCGAACTCCTCTTTCTGAACAGCTCTCTGGATCGAGTACCCAAAAAGAAAAATTAAGAACGGAAGAAAAACAACTGAAAGAAATAAAAGTGAAAAAAAAACCCATCTGCTTTGTTTAATCAGTTAATTCAGGAGAGAGAGCAAACGCAGTACCCTACTACCATAAATTATGCAGTCGAGACTACCACATTTGGGGAATTCGCAGAGGTCAGCACAAACCGGAGTGCAATGGCCAAGCCTCACCCTGGGTAAACCACCTTCTTGATCATGGTATCTCCCCTGCCAGGTAAGTATGAAGGACCACGCGGCCAGTCAGGGTTACCATTTCCCTCTCTACCAACCTCATCAACGGTGACCCCCCCCACCCCTAGCAAAGGAAGGCCTTCCATTACTGGCCTGCGCTGTGCCTGACCCTAACCCTAAAAAATAAACAAGATTCTACACGAAAGTGAGAAAAAGGTAAGTCATTATATTGACATCTGTTAATTGTCCACATCGCGTCACATCTGGCTTGATGTTACAGTACACAGTACATTTACTTTTCTATGTTTACATTGTGTACGTTACTACTATTAGCACTGTGATAGTACTATTTTTGCAAATGTGCTTCTAAATAAAACATTAAAACACAGGTTTTAACGCACTATAGTTATAGTTAACCTATTGCCAACTATTGCATGGAGTAATAAATCATACTTCGGTAGTTAAGTAATGGTTAAGTGAAAAGATGAATGAAATTACATTAAGCACGCTTAATAGTCATACATTTATTACTATGAGAATAACTGCAATGACCACCTGTAATTTATCTTTGCACATGAATATTAATTGTGATGTTTGTGAGATTTATGAGATTCGAAAGGCAATATATTGCTAATTAGCTGGTGAAAAAAATAGAAATCTTACTGTAAAGAGTCATTATTAGGAGTACAATATTGTCACCTTCAATGACCACCTGTAATTTATCTTTGCACATGAATATTAATTATGTTTGTGAGATTTATGAGGCTTGAAAGGCAATATATTGCTAATTAGCTGGTGAAAAAAATTGAAATCTTACTGTTATGAGTTGTTATTATTATTATGAGTAAAATATTGTCACCTTCAATGTTGTTGTTTTTTTTTTCAGTGTACCTTGATATGGCGAAGCCAGTTATCCGTCTCCAAAACCCCAATGCTCCACCGGGTCGTCAGCAGGCTTTATTGGTGGCGACAAATGAGGCCCGTGCCTACAGAGACAGAAGAATGAATTTTCCTCTACCCCCTGATCAGCTGCTCAATGAGTCCACTGCCCTACCCCATGCCCAAAGGGCCCTTCGTGCTGAAGGCATTGCAGTACCATCACGACAGCAGTGTCTGGGGAAGCTGGTGCTACCCTTGGGTCAATATCTCAATGCCCCGTTTCCCTGGCTTGTGTCAAATGATGTGGGCTACATGAAGTAGTAAGCGTATTCTATATAAAGTTTTTTACAGAAGTCATAATTTTAAAAAGATGCTGATAGCAAATAATCTCTCTGAATATTTATAGAAGTATATGGTTGTTATCGCTGTGTAGTCTATTATTTTTTTTGTCTTTGTAAAGTTTAGGTGCTAATTTTACAACTGATGCATGTAATTGCAGTTTGATCGACAAGCACAGAGAAGAACTCTCTAAAAAACCTGGAAAGGCAAAAGTACAAAATCAATGGATAAAAGACCATCTGGCAGAGTACGCAGAGAGCTTTCCTGAAGTATCAATCATCCTGGAGGCCAACATCCACCGATATGTTTATGGACAAAAGGGTTTCGAGAACCATACCTTTCAGGAGATGTGGGAGCTCTATAGCCTATATTCTGCACAGAAGGACAGGCCAGATGATTTTAATACACTGTAAAATCCAATAGTTTACCTTACTTAGATTTAGTTAGTTATCTTAGTTGTTATACTTACTAGGTTTTATTAAGTTACAGCTACTTTCAAGGCAAATAAAACAATTTACTTACTGTTTTGAGTGACACTTACTTAAAATATTCAAGTAGCCACAAAGGAACCAATGACATTAATAAACCAATGAGAGGCAGCAGTGCACTAATATTTTGCTAATGTGCAACATAACAACAGCAGAAGAAGAAAAGAAAACCAGTCTTAATAGACTTTTCACTCATTTCCTCCATGTCTGCAGTTATCTTTCACTAGTTGCATTCACTCGTTTCCCAAAGTCATCTGGAATGTTGAATTCTCAATACAACTGAAATATCTGAAAGAACATCACATAAGCTAACTTCATAAATTGATTTTCCTAAAATGTGTTTTTTTAAACTCCCCATTATAGTGATTAGCAGTACCTTTGGTTGGGCACTTTGAACTTGGTTTTGTAATTATCTTCCTATTAATGTAGTAATGCATCATTAAGTTATTTGATTTCAAAGGAAGAAAAGTAATAAATAGGTTGCTTTTAGAAAGTGACTGATCTTCTAATTAAAGCATTAGTGCATTAATTGTGTTTGCTCATTAATAAACTTTATCAAATGTCTTTCTTCATAAAGAACCTGAGATGCTTTTCTTTGTGTTTATATAATTCTTAAATCATGTGCGGTAACATGTTAAAGTCACACACAGACTTAAACATTCAGCACGTGAACCACAACAATGGTAACAATTCAATTTAATTTATTTTCATTACTTGTAACAATAGCCATTTTATTTGCTCTTTTTGTTGTGCTGCTACTGACACAAGACAGCAAATAAAATTGTCAAATAAAATCAACAACTATAAAACAAAGCAACTGCATAATTTATTCATACCGCAATGCAGGTCCTTATAAGACTCCCAGAGTGCATTGCGGCATGAATAAATTATACATTTGCTTTGTTTTATAGTTGTTGATTTTATTTGACAATTTTATTTGCTGTCTTGTGTCAGTAGCAGCACAACAAAAAGAGCAAATAAAATGGCTATTGTTACAAGTAATGAAAATAAATTAAATTGAATTGTTACCATTGTTGTGGTTCACGTGCTGAATGTTTAAGTCTGTGTGTGACTTTAGCATGTTACCACACACGATTTAAGAATTATATAACCCCCAAAAAAAGCATCTCAGGGTCTTTATGAAAAAGTTATTGATAAAGTTGATTAATGAACACACACACAATTAATGCACGAATGCTTTAATTAGAAGATGGGTCACTTTCTAAAAGCAACCTATTTATTACTTTTCTTCCTTTGAAAACAAATAACTCTGACTTCATAATGCATTACTACATTAACAGAAAGATAATTATAGTAACGTAAACCAAGTTCAAAGTGCCCAACCAAAGGGACTGCTAATCACTATAATGGGGAGTTTAAAAAAACACATTTTAGGAAAATCAACATCAATTTATGAAGTTAGCTTATGTGATGTTCTTTCAAATATTTCAGTTGTATTGAGAATTCAACATTCAAGATGACTTTGGGAAACGAGTGAATGCAACTAGTGAAAGATAATTGCAGACATGGAGGAAATGAGTGAAAAGTCTATTAAGACTCGTTTTCTTTTCTTCTTCTGCTGTTGTTATGTTGCACATTAGCAACATATTAGTGCACTGCTGCCTCTCATTGGTTTATTAATGTCATTGGTTCCTTTGTGGCTACTTGAATATTTTAAGTAAGTGTCACTCAAAACAGTAAGTAAATTGTTTTATTTGCCTTGAAAGTAGCTGTAACTTAATAAAACCTAGTAAGTATAACAACTAAGTAAAGATAACTAACTAAATCTAAGTAAGGTAAACTATTGGATTTTACAGTGTATGAGCCAGAGGGATTCAATACAGAAGGCATACAGCTCTGTCAGCCGGTGGCTAAATACACCTGTAACCCACATCACCAGTGTGCAGATGAAAAGATTTAGGACATACATTTATGACAAGAAGAGTCAAGTAAGTCGTCTGAATGTTTTCAGCACATACAGCACATTATATCTTTCATGATAAAAAAAAAAGTTAATCAGAATGTTATTATTTACATTTGTTATACAGATGTCGAGCTCTTCCATCAGTGACCCCTCATGGCTGGATGACACCCACTTATTGGAGGTGATCGAATCGGAGTCCACGGCTTCCACAGCATCATCCTCATTCCCAACTACATACACACAATCCTCCTCGTCCACAGCATCAGCAGCAGCCCCAGCGGCAGCCACAGCGTCATCCGCAGCCACATCCACACCTTCTTCAAAGAAGTCCTCATCCACACCTTCAAAGAAGTCCTCATCCACAGCATCATCAGCAGCCACAGCATCATCCGCAGCCTCATCCACACCTTCAAATAAATCCTCATCCACAGCGTCATCCGCACCCACATCCATACCTTCAAACAAGTCCTCATCCACACCTTCATCAAAGAAGTCCTCATCCACACCTTCAAATAAATCCTCATCCACAGCGTCATCCGCAGCCACATCCATACCTTCAAACAAGTCCCCATCCACACCTTCATCACAGCGTCATCCACAGCCTTTACTCATGTTTTCCCAATAGAACCATCACAGAGTGACTCCCCAGTGAGTAATATTTACATACACAAATGTATTAAACATAAATGCTAAAAGTTGGAGTGATATTACACATGTATTGTTATGTAATTATGTTTTCTGTTTTGACATGTTTCAGGTCGAGCTGGAGGGCTGGGTGCGACTGTGGGAAAATCCCAACGGCATTCCACCAGCTGACCTCTCCTGGGTGAAGGATGACACAGAGCGAGGACTCTTTGGCCCCATTCAGGTGTATCGCGACAATGCTGCGGTATTGAAGAGGCGGCGTGTAATAAAATCAGACCGCATGTGGTTTTACCCTCCAGAACCTCCAGGCTACATCAGTGGTACTGTGCCAACTCCACATCTCTTCTTTTGGGGTCGCATCTTTGTGTGGCGGCCCGTTGGAGTTTGGAAATTCTCACTGAAGTGTCCTCGAGGAGAAGAATGTGTGGGTCAAGGAAAGAATGTGTACCTCTACAAATCAGGCTACCACACCAAGGTATTACATATTATTTATTAGATTAGTTAATATTACAGTTGGTATACAACAATTAAATTATTTATTATTATGTAAATACACCTACAGATCAAATAAAACAATGCACTGGGGGGTTTAACCATTTTTTTAAATATATCTTGCAGGTTCGTCACATTTGTGACGTATCCAGCTGGTACTGTATAATAACAGAGGTCCTGTGCTGCGGCCCGTGTACAAAAGCAGCCAGGGGTGGCGGCAGTGGCAAGGTGGGCAGGTGGTTGGCGTGGGATTCCACCATTCTGTGTCAACTTAGTGAGGCTCACCAAGCCATGTTCCCTGCTATTCTGACAGACAAGTGAGTACACTAAACATTGGTGTAAACCTAACATGCCTTGAATTAGTTGGCATATTAATTATCACACTTTACAGGCGTGGTGTGGACAAGAACGTGGTGCAGCTTCTGAGGGACCGGACTAAAGGGAACACCATGGTCAAAGTGTGGAGACAAATCCAGGAGAATCATGTTGAGGAGTATCTATAGTCAAGATGGCCAAACGCTATGCACCGGCACAACAGGACATCAGTGCTCATCACAACAGACTAATGTACACGCTGGTCAAACTTCTCTGGTTGGGGTTACCACACAGTTCCAAAACGAGCCCGGAAAAAACATCCATCCTGAAGGCCTACGAGAGAATTCAGCATTGCATATTGGTGGAGGATCCAGTGCTGAGTAAAGTGGGTATTCCTCTACCAAAGATTAACATCAAGACGGTCCGGGATTTCATCCGTCATCAGGAGAGGCTCATCAACCTGCAGTCAACAAGAATGCCATCAGCCACAATATCAAAGACTGCGTCGGTCTCCTCAAAAGACTTACCTCCAGCACCACGTCAGCTGTCGGTTCTCCCTCCACCTGACTACCAACAGATTGTGTATGAACACATTCCCAGCAAGGCAGGGACCAAAGTCTTAAAAGAACGATCAGACATGGTGATGCCAACTCCAAAAAACCCGTCCCAGGCAAAACACCCTGAATCTACACTGACGTCTGACTTACCCCAGCAGAAAACTCCAGCCATGTCTACCATCTTCAGACCTCTACCTAGAATCACTTCATCCACTGCTCCTGCACAAGTTATTCCGGCCACGTCCACCAATGCCACACCTGTGTCTTCCAGCCAGACTGACACGTCACAGAGTGCTGACACCCCTTCAGTCTGGTCTAGAGCAACAATATACAAAAGAAAAAACACAGTCATTCTTACTCAAGTTGGAGCAAAGCTTTCACGTGTACACCACTTGCCCATTTGCACACTTTGCCACCAACCCACTCAGGGACACAAAAAATATAAAAAGAAAACTTTTTGTCCCATGAAAATTATGTCGACCTCCAAAGGATTTGACAATAGAGTGTACACCAGCTATGAACACTTTACCACATTTGTGGACTCACAAGAGTGAACTTTGTCTTGCTGTTCTGAAGTTCAACTAGGACCACTGTTGTGTCGTTTTTATTTTTAGAGTTACATTTCATGTAACTACAGTTTATATTGAATATTGTTTATTCTATAGTTATTTTGTGCATCGGTCAAATATTTCATGTTTAAAAATAATATAGTTATATATAGTTTATACTGAATATTGTTTATATTGCTTTTTAAATGTTTTCTATATCACGTAACTAATATTTTATACTTCTTGTAACTTGTGACGTTTATATTGAATATTGTTTTTGTATTGTATTTTAATTCATTCAAGTTTTATTCTATTTCATGTACCTAATACTTCATGTCATGTAACTAAATATTGTTCTGAATATTGTTTGAATTGCTCTATATATTTCATGCACATACTTTATATTGGATGTAACTATAATAATTTATATTTTATGTAACTAGTTTATATTGAATATTGTTTACATTGTTTTATATATATTTTATTACATGTAACATTTTATATTTCATGTAACTGTAAATAAATTCAGAACTTATAGCATTAAAGGAATCTGTCACATATTTTACATATAATTGTCTTGGAAAAGACAGCTTTGTAATACTTTTCACTTAAGATAATGGTATATGCACATTACCTTAAATAACACCAAAAGTAAAACAAAACAGTACTTTCATGTATGAAATTGGGATGCATTATAAAACACTGAAAATACATAAAAACAAAAGTATTACAACTATATACTGTAACAAAATATAGTCAGTGCAAGAATAACAAATTACATTTACATTATATTAAATAGTCATTTTAAATAAAGCATGGGACAACAATATGATGTCAATTTTTTTTTCAGTTTTCATGATGAATATATATAGACATTGATAACAGTATAAACACTTCATTGATTATACTGATAATCATAGACTTAACAACAATTAACAGATTAACAAAAACTGTCCATCCTCAAGTTTTTGCATCATATTGGTCACGGTGTCTTGAATCACACAATCTCTCACCCTATGTTCGATGTCACTAAGGTGTTCTTCAATGTTGGTTAATCGTTTCATTGTTGCCATTCCATTTGAATACACCTGCTCCTCCTCAAATTCTTCCGGTGGTGGCGGTGGAAATGGAGTAAAATCATCTGGATCGCCAGGTTGGTCTGGGAACAGCACTTGTACTGCGGATTTTTCTTTTTCTTCTTCCGAGTCGATATAAAGTCCACTAAAAGTGTCAATCATTTCATTCACCGGATCTCTTATCTGACTGAATGCATCACCGGAGAAATCCGCAATGGGCGCAATCACATCCCTATCCATTTCAGAATGTAAGGTTTGATTTATTTCTCCGATTTAAAATTTTTGAATTTACTTTTGCTGTTAGTTCCTTTATTTGATCCTTTTTAAAATCATCTAGTGATACCCTCTAGGTTCAAGTCTAACTCAGTCATTGTCCCTGTTCGGGCGCCATTTTGTAACTTCTCTTTCTTTTATTTTTAGATTAGCGACAAATGAGGGTTCATCACTAAAATCAAATAAAGCAATTTATGAACTTCAGCAAACAGTCTCGCTTTTTTGTTGTTGTTGTGTTTTATTCCCCCAATGCTAAATGGGTTCAAGTGAAACTAATTATAATCTATACATACCAAAGAAACTAATAAACCAAATCAAGACCTTGTCCTTGACTTTACACCAAAGAAATAGTCTATTAGTTCTTATCTGAGCAAGGATGATCCATTCCGTGGCAAAAAAAAATGACTTACTCTTTCCGAAGAAAACATTGAGTGCGTTGAAACATGTGGATCACCTTTAGCGTGGACAACTCCGACTAACCTATGAATGAGCCTCATCAAAGGAATCAAACACAGAGGCACATCCACTTGACAATTAGTTTTGTATCCAAACACAGCTTTGGAAATGAAATATGCAAAGGAAAAAAAATCCTTATGTCGAGCTTAAAACCAAAGGTCTCTCAACTATAACTTCTTCAACCAGAAGTTCAAGGTAGCACAAAGAAACATGTGTTCCCTCTACCCAAACTGAACTACTTCTTCAGGCAACTACTCACCTGATATACAAACTAGGTGTGTCCACCTATCGCCCTCTAGTGCCTCAGTGTTACCCCACATAGGATTTTTAATTCCGTTACTCCAAGTATATGGAAAACGGTGACAGAAATTTCACTCTGTTACAACGTTACAGATCAATTGCACTACAGTCCGGCGCATCCCCTTCACAGAGGTCAGCACAAACCGGAGTGCAATGGCTGAGCCTTTTTTTTTTTTCTTCCTTAAAAACATTTATTTATCATTCAATTCAATACATAGTCATAACATCACTCAAAAAGGGCAAACAAAGGGAAATCTCTTCCCATACATATCATTCAAAATGTTCAAAAATTGGGGAAGGAATTGAACATTTCCATTTCTTGAGTGTTTTCATCAAAGAAACAGTTTCTATATCTTAGCACATAGTCTCTGATTGAAACAAGGCTTGAGGTAATCACTGTTCCCGCTGGTATATCATATCTTTTAAAGCAAGAAATATTTATTGCTTTCCATATCCCTTCTTTGATGACATTGATAACTGTCCACTATCTAATCCATTCCTCAGGGTCTATATTGTTCAGCTCTCCATACAGAACATCCATTTCACTTGGGAATCTATATAAGTCAGTTAACCATTCTCGTACAGAAAACTATAACCCCTTAGCATATTTACAAGACAGAATAGATGGCTGATGGACTCATATTCTCCACATTTAGATTTTGGACATTGTGAACTCTGTGAACAATTCCTTTTTCTCAAAAACACTCGAGTAGGTAGACTTTGATGCACTACTTACCAAGCAATGTCTTTATGTGCATTAAATAAGAACACATTGCTTACATTCTTCCATACTTGAATACAATAAGAATCAATGAGTTTTCCCACCGGAGATATCCTCTGTAATTCTGGGTATAACATATTTTGCACCATCACCCTATTAACTTTCTCTATAGGGATATCTGACACTTTAACTTTTCTTAAGAAAGATAGCACCCTTTCGTATATATTTGGTCTAAATTCAGCATGAGGTTTATTTTGTGGACGTCTAATCTTCCAAGCTCAGGGTCTATATTGTTCAGCTCTCCATACAGAACATCCATTTCACTTGGGAATCTATATAAGTCAGTTAACCATTCTCGTACAGAAAACTATAACCCCTTAGCATATTTACAAGACAGAATAGATGGCTGATGGACTCATATTCTCCACATTTAGATTTTGGACATTGTGAACTCTGTGAACAATTCCTTTTTCTCAAAAACACTCGAGTAGGTAGACTTTGATGCACTACTTACCAAGCAATGTCTTTATGTGCATTAAATAAGAACACATTGCTTACATTCTTCCATACTTGAATACAATAAGAATCAATGAGTTTTCCCACCGGAGATATCCTCTGTAATTCTGGGTATAACATATTTTGCACCATCACCCTATTAACTTTCTCTATAGGGATATCTGACACTTTAACTTTTCTTAAGAAAGATAGCACCCTTTCGTATATATTTGGTCTAAATTCAGCATGAGGTTTATTTTGTGGACGTCTAATCTTCCAAGCATTGGCTACCTGTTGGCCTATCCAACGTTTAGCAAAACAATGCCATAAGATTTCTTGATTCTCACTTAGACAAGCTTTCAGAAGAGGAGTCAAAAACATTGATTCCAATTTAATGCTTATTTATGGAACTGCTAGCCCACCCATAGCTACTGGTTTATACAATATCTCTCTTCTCATTCTTTCATGTTTGGAACCCCAAAGGAAACCGAACAAGACTTTTTTAACTGATCTTATAAAATTGACTGGTGCCGGTAAGGATACAGCTAGGAAGGTAAGGGAAGCCAAAATTTTGGCATTTATTACTAGCACTTTCCCTCTCAATGTAAGGTCTCGATCCTCCCACTGTTTTACTTTCCATTTAATTTTATAGAGTCTCTGATCCCAATTCATTTTCTCCATATTGTTACCAATCAAAAGCCCTAAAATCTTAATGAATTCAACCTGATCTTTAAAGCCTGATTTTAATTTAGGTTCTTTCCA